GGTGTATGATTTGGGGGAGATCCCTTCTAACCTAAGACAGGTGCAGTCACCCGGGCAGGGACCCAAAGGTCCCTCACTGCTCTGCCTCGCCTCCCCAAAAGTACCAAGAGCAAAAACTGTGAGAACTATAGCCTCTCACGGGAGGAGTCTGGACTACCTTTATTAAAGTAGAAGGGAGGAGATGTTGGAGGCCAAGCCTTAAGTGTACCCCTGCCCCAGTTTGAAACAACCAGGTGGCCTTGTAAAAACATGTTTTTCTTGCCCTGATTTACTACATTTTACTTATCTTGTGAAACCACCAGGGCTCATGACTGTAGTGGAAACTCCCCAGCAGGGCCTTGCCACCTTCCACTCCCCCTGCCTTCTCTCTGCCCTTTACCTTCCCCCACCCTCCGCTTTACTATATTAACACTGTGTGATTGCTCAATAAAAGAGACTTGATCAGAATACTGTCTTGTCTCCATTTCTTCGTGCCCCCTGTCTATTCATTCCTCCAGGTTCAGTCTCGGTGCCCCACGCTGTTGCTCCGCGCATTATACATTAATTTGGGCAGGGGGCAGTACAGAGGGAGAGGATGGAATCTAAATACCATCAAACTATACAGTGTGAAAATCAGAATTCAATAAACAAAACTTTGGAAGCACACACTACGTCCTATGTAACAGTGTCTCCATTCTGACTTCCCACTTCAGGGAACTAAAAACATTTAATGCAACTTTCTCGGATCTCACTCCAGTTTTCTTAGTAGCTGAGGGTTGTATTTGGGGAGAAAGGGGGGTTTCACAGTGTAGTCTAGGTTAGCCTGTAACTGCAAGTGATCATCCTGCCTTGGCCTCCCAAGGGCTGGGAACTGTGCAAGCCACACCTGGCTGATCGAAAGATCTCTTCACAGTTTGGCCTCTGTTACTGACTGCATTCTGATTGGTACTTAAGCCTTGAAGATACGAACATTGTCAGGTTTAGAATTATGAATCTTTTTAAACCAGGAGCTAGAAAACCCAAGTTCAATTTTCACTGTTGTACAGCCCTAGCTGGGAAAATAAAGTCATAGTCAATGTTCTTCCAATTCTGAACTTGTGATTTCTGTAACTAAGGGTATGATTTATTGCTCAAAGTGGGCAGGGCACACAGCAGCCACCAAAGTTTCAGGTGGAGGGTAGGTGACTGCCATGTGCTTTCCCAAGCGGTCACAACCTTGTTAGCACTGGTAATCTGTCAGTTAAGGCTGCAGACTCAGGTTGACTGGTCAAAAATGTTACATTTTGTGCTCTTCAGGAAAACTGCAATCTTTACGTTCTGAGCCATTTTCCATTGCCAAAAGCCTTTCTAAAACTGCTCTGACTATAGCAAGATTTGGAGCCATGAAACGGCAAACCCTTCCTGGAAAGGGAAGTGAAGCTTCGCCTTCTTAAACAGCAATGCCACTGTTCTGATACTAGAACTGTGGGACAAACGGCTAGGCTGCTGGGCCTGCAACATGCCTGTTACAGATCCATACGGTATAACCATATGTATGCACGACACCGCACCACATTCTCCTGGTTTTATACTCAAAATGTTTACACCATAGGAAGTGTCTATAAGAGCAGCTTGCTATTTAAATTACTAAGCGAACTCAACAAATCAACACTCCGCTTCCTGAGAACAGGGTGACTGAAATCATTTCTCAAGACAAGGACTACACACAGAACGGTGGTATCATGGTTGCTCCAGACCAACAAGCAGGTACTACCTATAAACAAACACTTCTCCAAAGCTCACAGGTCCTCTAAAGGTTGACAAGTACAACCAGTACTTGAAGCTACAACAGAACAGGACTCTACAAGCAATCTATAAAAGAAATTAAAGTATGATCTAGTTATGAGAGTAACTCCAAGTGTGCTTCATACCAGAGTTCTAGAAATTACTTATCTAATAGTCTTCGTAGTGATAGCTCTATGGATACAGACTGTGAGATACAAAGGACAGAAACCCAAATTCAAACCAGGTTATTTATAAGAAGCCTGAGGGTGGCGGGGAGACACCCCATGCACCCAATGATACTGGGTGGCAAAATACTGCAGGATCCAGGGCCAAAGATCAGGGTCCCTAAGGCTTTGCCGTGAGCCCAGTTCAACAATTATCAGCAGTAAGAAAGCATCACCCCTCAAGGTTTCTATAGCAAACACATTCGGTGAGCCCCTGGACTCACTACCACAGGACTATGGCATATTGGTCACTAGCCCACTGGGGTTACCCTATGAGTAAGGAGGAAGAAAGGCAGTGTTGGAGGTCTCTAAGACCACCTCCAACAGGGAGCTCCCTAGACACAGAGAACATGAGACAGGCTGAGGACTCAGTAAACCTGTTCCTCCCACAATCCTGCCCGCAGTGCAGAAGGATTCTATGCTCCCGAGGAACTTTCCTGACTCCAGTTAAACACAAGGGAACTAAGACTGACCTATCATAAACTGGAGCTTGCTAAAGGCACAAGGCGAAGTTCACTCCAACTCAGCCTCTTCAAGTTCCTTAAAACATTAAATTAAAACATTTTAGCTTTTTACTCTAAAAAAAGCAATTAACATTTTCAGATACTTCTTTCAACTAATTGCAAACAAATTTGCTTTTAAGAATTACAGCAGCATAATTAAATAATTCCCAAAGTGAGTAATTTTAGCTGAATATCTATATTCTAGAACATTTTTAGAAGGTTGCTAATGAATACTATCAAGTCCAGCAATCTCAGTCAGACTTGAAAGTCAAGGTAACTGCTCTAGTCACCAACAACGAAGGCATAGGAATCATCAAACAGCTTTCATAACAGACCTAAAAATAGAGTTGGCAGATTTTCAAAACTGTTCTTCCCACTGTGGATGGCCCTTGATCGTCAGCTGTAAAACTTGGCAAACTTTGGCACACGCTAATGTTAGTTTATAAGTTACTGAAAAGCCCTATAAATTTAGTAACATTTCTCAGATCAGATAGTATTCTCATCCATATGCTGAAGCATCCAGGTTGAGCACTGAAATACCAGTAGAAAAATACTCCTCAGGAGGCACTTTGTAGTTTCCACATGGCAAGAAATTGACAAGAAAATCTGAGCATTCTGAGTATAAAACACTCAGAGCATCCTGAGTCTTCAAGGCAGCACTTTTCTAAGTTTCAGGAGTTCCAACGGTAGGCACACAGAGCTGCTGTCAGGAGGGGATGGCTGAAGCCAACTTGGGTCCCCAGCTTCCTCCCATCAGTGGAGTTCTATTTTATTATAGCAACAAAGACGCCATACTGAGATCTAAACACATATACAGAATTATTATATTTAAATTCATATGAAACAATATTTACACTTTAAGTTAAACATATGAAATTAGAAGATGAAGCACAGCTGTTTCACAACAAAGACAAGAAAATGTACAAGACAGCAAGAGAGCCAAGAGTAAAAGCCAGACTATCTGTTCCATGCTTCACAGAAAGCTACATCTTTTTAATCCCGTTGTCCAAGTCATCAAAATACGGGTGCTTCAGTGCCATTTTGCCAGAAATTCGTTTGGCAGGATCATAGACCAGCATTTTCTAGAGGGAAAAAAAGAGAAGAAAAAAAAAAAAAAACCTTAAAAAATGATCTTTTTTTTCTAACATGTCCGTAAACAGCCTGGCTGTTCCAGCACTAAACCATGTTGTAACTGTGGTAAACTTCTTCTCAAGGGAGCTTAAACCACAGCTTAACCTTAAACCACAGCTATCTGATAATCTCATTATAAATGATAAGTGCTTAGTTTTAAGACAGTCTTAAAACCAAGAATAAACTTATAAAAGAGATCAAATTATTCTTACTCTGACAATTAAATGCCCATCTGAGTTATTTACAGCATTCCTGAAATGGTGGCAATTAGAGTGTTTTTTTTTTTTAATTTATTATTTTTATGTGTATGAGTATATTGCCTGCATGTATGTGAGTGCACCCGTGTCGTGCAACACCGCGGAGGTCAGAAGAGGGCTTCAGATTCCCCTGGAACTGGAGTTAAGGACGGTTCGTAGCCTCCATGTGGGTGCTGGGAATTGAACCCGGGTCCTCTGCAAGAGCAGTCAGTGCTCTTACCTGCTGAGCCATCTCTCCAGCTTCTAGAGTGTTTTTGATAGTGACCAAATGAGGCCCCCAAAGGAAAAGGCCCAGTATGTTCAATAAGCTAAAACAGAATCACTAGATGAACTGATACATTATGATAAACTAGCTAATTTACATTATTGTCAGAGAAAGCTTAGATCTTAAATCTGGTATTATCTTCATAAAAAATTAAATCAATAAACAAACTAAAAAACTTCTTTGAGACAGGGTAGCCCAAGCTGGCCTTAACTCCTGATTCTCCTGCCTCAGCCGCCCAAGTATTGGGATTACAGGCATGTGTCGCCACACCAGGCTTGTGGTGCTAGCGATCAAACCCAAGGCTTCATGTACACTAAGCATACTGACTGAGGTACATCCTCAATTAACCCTCACAGCAAAACAAAGAGATCTGCCCATTGTAAGATTATGACACCAAGTCTCTTGGCCAAGGAACTTGCCTAAGCTCATAAAGCTAGGAAGTGACAAGAAGCCAAGTCTAACTGGCAATTCGCAGTTTTCAACTGGTGGAGACTTTGCTTCTTGGGGAACCTGCAGAGGCTGGAGAGGGTCCTGGTTGTCAAGGGCTAGAGCGTACATTGCCTGAGGGCGGAAGACAGAAACGCTGCCCAAAGTTCCACCCAGCTCGCAGGAGAAAGGGCAGGGCCAGCAGCCAGTGTTATCTAGAAAGTGTTCACGGACCGAGAAATCTGCTTCATAGTATCTGATTTTTGTTCAGTGAAATTCTGTGTTCAAAAAATGTAAGAGCTAAAGATGTGGCTTAGGAGTAGAATGTTTAGCCGACCACCCTGAAGGTCCTAAACTCCACCCCCCAGCATCACAATAAAACTGACAACTTTAAATGTAAGCAGATTGGGCCAGGCAAGTGGAAAAGCTTATTCTAACTTAATACCAATAATTAAAATATATGAAGGATATATATATGTACACATACACACACACTTTGGACAAATCTGATCTTCATTTGGTGATATGACATATTGATGAAGGAGCCAAAAGACCAATTAACTAGAGCATGTATTTGACTGTGTAACAGTGAGTATCCTTTGCATACACCTGCCAAAGCCCTGAGATTTATAAAAATTGGTTTCTTCTACAAATTCAGAATTTAAATATTGCTCTAAAACAAACTTACTTATTATAAATATAAAGCTGGCCTGTTTTTTTAAATCCTTGATTGTAATTTTATTGTCTTCTTCTTAAAGAAAGCAATTGTTAATGGGGTGCAGCAGTGTTAACAAGAGGAAAACCAAAATTACATTCATTTTTCTAACCTTTCTGATGAAAAAGACCAGGCCAAAAACGAGAAACGGAGTTTTGGCTGTAAACAGCTTTAATAACTCAGAGTCCCAAGCAGTAAGCAGAGCACAGATGTCTTGGGTAAACAAATAGTAAACAGAGACAAGCCAGAAAGGAGGGTCACTACAGCTTGGCTGTGCTCAGAATTGAAACAGTCCTATTAGCCCTGGCCTCTCCTCCAGTGTTTCCATAGCAACCTACCAGCCCAAAAACAAAACGGCAAACAAACTCTAATGCCGAACTTTGCTCAAGACCACGCGTGTTTCTTGTTATCTAAAAATGTTACAACAGGCATAACCGACCTCTAACTCAAGAAATGTGGATTTCTTCCTATCTCCCAAGTAAAAGGCTGAGCATGCTCAGTCATGAACAACGTCGTCACCACAAAGCAGCACTATGAACAGGCTCACTCACCGAGAGCAAATCCAAGCCGTTTTCATCCAGGTTTTTGACGTGGGAGGCAAGGCTCCCTGGCTTCCACTTGGGGAACGTGTTCTTGTAGTCCTGGAGAGACTCCACTTCCGGCCACACTTCATTGTTGGGCGTGCCCAAGGCTCTGAGGGCAGAAGCAAAGCAAACGCTGACGTACACCTCACCTAACCCTGGAAGCCCCCATAGTTCCGGTGTAAGCCAAGTAGTACCGGAAGATCCTGAAGAGCTGGTCGATCTCCGAGTCCCCGTGGAACAGCGGCTTCTTCGTGGCCAGCTCTGCAAAGATGGTGCCTATGCTCCAGATGTCGACTGGGGTCGAGTAGCGGGCGGACCCCAGCAACACTTCCGGAGAGCGATACCAGAGTGTCACCACCTAGGGCAAGGCAAACCGCACTGAATAAGCACGCTGCACACGGCTGGGCGTCACTGGTCTATTTTAAAACGCTGTGCAGCTGCCACCAGGAGCATTAGGTCAATTAACTATGTGCAAAGTACGAAACTGGAAACAATTATTTTGAATTCGGCTCATTAGATTTAAAAAATAAAATTTCTTGCTTTTAAATAAAGTAGAAAAATCAAAATGGTTACAAAATCGGACCAGCAGAGTTGGCTCAGCTGTTAAGAGCACTGGCTGCTCCTGTACAGGACCTGGGTTTGGTGCCCAGCATCCACATGATGGTTGACGACCATCTGTCACTCCAGTTCTAGGGGATATGCCGCCCTCTTCTGGCCTCCTTGGGTAGCAGGCACACATGGTAAACACAAACAGGCAAAACACTCATGCATGTAACAAAAACTTTCCAAAAAAAAAATCTAATACTTTCCAAAAACTAAAAATTAAAGGCAGACAAAGCACCAAATAAAACTGTTTAAACACTACACAGAAGTGCAAGGTTTGCTTACATGAAGATGGGAGGGAATGGTCACCTCTTGTTTTTTTGGGTTTTTTTTTTTTTTATCTTTTTGAAACTTGGTCTCCCTGTAGCCCCAGCTGGCCTGGAACTCACTATGTAGACCAGACTGGCCTTGAACTCAAAGATCCACCTGCCTCTGCCTCCCAAGTGCTGGGACTGCAGGCATGCGCCACCACACCCAGAATTAAATACTCACTTCTTAACACAAGTAAGAAACATAAGCCAAAAACCTTTCACTGATTTAGAACGAATGATCATTTGTGTCATTTATCCAAAAAGCAGGAACGTGGCCTCTAGAAGCAAAGCTGACAAGGCCGACAGCCTTTACTCCAAGGAAACTATTTCTTTATGTTCCCATGGAGGAAGAAATGAGCAGAGGGTGGAGCTGGGGCTGCAGCTCAGCAGGTGGCGTACTTCCTAGCATGTCCAAAGCCCAGAATTTGACACCTAGCACCACACAGACCAGGTATGGTGGTGTGCACTGGTTATCTCCAGAGGTAAACAGGAGGATCCTGCGTGCAGTTAACTACATAGCAACTTTGAGGTCAAGGGTACACACCCCAAGTCGGTTTTCAAGGTTCATGTATGACACAATTCAATGTCCATCCTTTCTGTTCAGAAATATCAATGAACCCAGCCTGCCAGTGGGTTTAATCCCAGCTACTAGGGAGGCCAAGACAGGAATCCCAAGTTCAAGGGTAACTCAAAATGAAATCCTTTCTCAAATAGGTAAAAAAGAAGGCAGGGCATGTAGCTCAAGCACAGAGAACCTAGAATGTAAGGCCCTAGGTTAGATCCTCGGTGCAAAGGGAAACAAAAGAAATAGTCAAAGGATGCCAAACCTTCAATATAACAAAACTGACTGTGGGTATAGCTCAGTGATGGAGCACTTGCCTAACATGTGCAAGGACCTAGGCTCAGTCCCTCCTCCTCCCTCCCCTAATTATAGTTACTGTTTCTAAATGTATCAGAAAGTCTAAAAATCAAACCCACCTTTTAAAAACTATTTTTATTTCATGTGTATGAATGTAATGCCTACACGTAAGTAGGTGCATCTGTGTCGTGCAATGCCAGCAGAGGTCAGAAGATGTAGGATCCCCCCAGAACTGGAGTTACAGCGGTTGTCAGCCACCATGTATGTGGGTGCTGGGAACTGAACCCAGATCCTCTGCAAGAGCAGCCAGTGCTCTTAACCCCTGAGCCATCTCTCCAGCCCCAAACCCACCTTTTAATTCATCAGAATGTACTATACAAGGGTCCATCAACAGAAACTACGGCTCTGGGGAAAGGTTAACACAAAGAACTGGAATAAGACTGACTAATCAGAGTTCTAACAACTACAGCACAACCCCTTCCTACCTACCGCACCGTGTCCCCTGACAGACAGTGCCTGGGTCCCAGTTCCATTCTCACACATAAGCAGTGCAGGATGACTGAGAAGCAGTATGCTGATGCTGTCAGAGCAGAAGCTTTTAGTCAGGTGATTCCTTCCTGGCTTAGAGAACTGACAGAGCAGCACACTCACAAACACAGCAGACTTACCTCGTGTGTGTAGACTCTGATAGGAATTCCAAAAGCCCTAGCAAGGCCAAAATCAGCCAGCTTGATTGTTCCCTTGTCATCAATCAATAGATTCTGAGGTTTTAGGTCTCTGTGAAGAACCCGTCTGGAGTGGCAAAACACAATTCCCTGGAGGATTTGGTACAAGTAACTCTGGAAAAGCCAAGTAAGTCAAAGACTTAACATTCCTCCCATGATTTTCTAAATAACCAACTTAAAACTGAATCATACCACTCAAAAGTTCACAAATAATATGCCCCAAAGAAACAAGAAATGATGTTGTGGGAAAATAATTCAACTAACCAAAAGAGCTTTGGGGTCATCTGTACTAACGGGGATTTGTCAGAAGAGACCTATTTACATAGTATATGCAGACAACACTTACCTTCTGGGCACACACACACACGTGAACACGCTCAGTCCTTTTACTTATCTGGTGCCCACTATAAGTCACAAGATAGCTTTCTCTGTGAAGTTCCAACATACTCCTATCAGCTGTTCCCACCCTGAGTACAGCTGTTCTTGTTCATTCATGGCATCTCTACACATGCATTTCCTCTTTGTAAACATCAGTCAAATTTCAGAAGAAATGAACAATTAAGGGATGTATGTTTCACAAGATACTTGTCAAAGGTGATAACACTGGTTTTTTTTTTGTTTTTTGTTGTTTGTACACAGGGTCTCCCTGTAGCCCCAGCTGGCCTAGAACTACATAGACCAGGCTGGCCTCGATCTCACAGAGATCTGCCTGCCTCTGCTGGGATTAAAGGTGGACACCAGCACACTCAGCTATAATTAACATGAGAAGAAACATGGATAGACCAGAAGTATACAGTATATATAATAAAGATCGGCCTAAAAGATTGAAATTGGAAAATACGTGAAACCAGTTAAAACAGGTAGCTGATTACTTACCGCATGGTGCATACTTCCCGTAGAGGCCAGATGTCTGTCTCTCCCTAGCACTCTCCACCTTATTTTTTGAGACAGGGTCTCACATAGAACCTGTGTTCACAGTTTTGCCTAGGCTGCCCACCAGTTCCAGGGTTATGTGTCCCATACCACAAAGCTTGCTCTCCTGCATGCTGGGCTCTGAACTCAGGTCTTCCTACTTGCACAGCAAGCAGTTTATCGCTGAGCTGCCTCCCTAGCCCTACAATGTAGCTGTTAAAATGAATCTGATCTACGCAGAATTTAAGTCCCCCCCCCAAAAAAAGTGGGAGAGTCGGGGAGCCCTACTGTAACTACAGGAAACACTGACATCTATTGTTCTCAGGATCTGATCTATCTTCAGCAAGACACTGCAAGTCCCAAGATGCTGTCTATAACATAAACACTGGCAAGGGCAGGCCCCATCAGCAAGTCAAAGTGGGAAAAAGGGAATGAGAGGACTTGTCATCAACTTGTTACTAAAATGATCTTTGCAACCATTGAACATAGGCAATATCCTAACAGATAAAAGTTAGTGAACACGTACAGGTTATTTATAAATGAGTAAACATGAAAAATGCTAAATAGCAAATGAAATAATAGTAACAGCCTTTCCACATGAAAGCGCACTGGGATTAAAGGCATGCACCACCACAGCTGGCCTAATAAAGCGTATGTGAATTTTTTTTGCCCACCGGGGAGCACACCTTTAGTCCCAGTGCCCAACAAAGGCAGGCATTTTCTTGTAAATTCAAGGCCAGCCTAATCTATATGGTGAGTTCCAGGCCAGTTGGGGTTACAGGGAGACTCTCTCAAAAAGAAAGAAAAAAGAATCTACAAATGCCTTTGTAATTTAACTTACACACATTCTGAGCCAGAATAAGACCAGCCAGCATCACTGCTGGGCGTCAGGCTTTTGTTAGTGCTCCACACATAAATAAGTACCGCCAGAGAGCAGTCCATTCTGCTTCCAACAATGGAAGACGGTTTGTAGTATCAGCTTTAAAAAAGTGTTCATCACCTTATATGCATGTATGGAATTCTCAGTAATTGTTTTTAAAGTTGGAGAGATGGCTCTGTGGGTAAGAGCACTGGCTGCTCTTGCAAGAGGACCTGGGTTTGATTCCCAGCACCCACATGGCGGCTAACAACCATCTGTAACTCCAGTTCCAGGGGATTTGATGTCCCCTTCTGACCTCCACTAGCACTGCATGACACAAGTGCGCTTACACACATGCAGGCAAAACACTCACACACATAAAATCAAAATAAAAAAATTTTTTAAGTAAGATATTATGCCAAAATAAAGCATACACATAAAAAAGTGCTTATTTTATTTGAGATGCGTGAATATAAGTGTACCATGTGCAACAGCAAGGAGGCCAGCAGAGGACACTGGACCCCCGGAACTGAAGTCAGTCAGCCGCTATGTGCACACTGGGAACTGAACCAGGTCCTCTGCAAGAGCAGCCAGTGTTCTTAACCACTGTGCCATCTTTCCAGGCCCTATATTATCATTTTTATGTTATCTTAGACACTAATTTTCACTTACTAGAACCATCTGGTAATAAAATGGGTAAACGACCATCTAATTGGTGCAAAATTAAACCCTCTTTCTCACTCTAGTCTTACACTTTTCCCAGCATTCACAACATACTTTTACACAGGGCAGACTGTATCCAGAGTGCTAAGTATAATAAAATGTTGTTAAGTCTCCTACCTTAACAAGGGAAGAATCCATGAACTGACCAGGAGGGATAGAATCCAAGTACTTCTTGAGATCCATGGAAAGGAATTCAAAGATGAGATACAACCTGGAGTCCTGCATGAGCACATCCTGCAGGCTGCAGTGAGAACAAAGCTTAAAAGTCAGCAAGCATTGATGACCTCCAGCTTTCCCAAAGGAAAACTACTTCTGTAAGTTTCATAGTGATTTCTCTGTGTGTGTGTGTGTGTGTGTGTGTGTGTGTGTGTGTGTGAGAGAGAGAGTGAGTGAGTGAGAGAGAGAGAGAGAGAGAGAGAGAGAGATTCAAAACAAATCACCTTAACACAAAAGTTGAATTTGAGGAAGTTTCAGGACAATTTAAAATTAATATCCCTATTCCAAAACAATGTATCTAAGTTGGCTGTTCATTCATATTGTTCAGAACTTGCCTTTCCATTGAAGTAAATTAATTATAGACATTAACTTTAAAGTGGAATCTTAAGTTTAACAGCTGTTCCCTATCTCCAGCTCCAGCGGAATAGGATTGGAACCAGGTGTGGTGGTACAGGCCTATCATCTCAGCTAATCCAGAGGCAGAAGAGAGGGAAACAAAGGCAGAGTCCTCTAAACAGCCTGCATCGCATACAGAGTGAGCCCAAGGCCACACTGGGTAACTACACTGTCTCAAAATAAATTTTCAAAGAGAGCGGGGAATGGGGCCTGGTGGTTTACGCCAGGAATCTCAGCACTAAGGCAGAAGGCTAAGGCAGAAGGACTGTTAAAGGACAATGTGGTCTATGCAGTAAATTCCAGGCTAACCTAGTAGGCTACAAATAAGACCCTGTCTCAAAAACTCAAAACAGCGGCGCTGGAGAGATGCTCAGTGGCTAAGAGCACTCACGGGCTGCTCCTGCAGAGGATTCCAGTGGTTCCCAGCACCCACATGGCAGATAACAATAGTCCATAAGTCCAGTTCCAGGGACTCTGAGATGCTATCTTCCGATCTCCTTGGGCACTGTACAATATGGGTGCACTTACATACGAGCAGGCCAGATACACATACACATAAAATAAAAATATTCTTAAAAATTAATTTCAAAAAGGGAGAATGGTTTCAATTCAGTCATGCCATACCTGACTATATTAGGATGACGCAGTTCTTTCAATAAGGAAATCTCCCGAATTGCAGTACTTGGCACTCCCTCCTCTTCACTCTCTAGCCTGATTTTCTTCATGGCCACCACCTGACCTGTTGTTTTGTGTCTACCCTTATACACAACTCCATAAGTACCTGAAACAAAGTAAATATCTGCTTTGTGATACATCCTACAAATGAAGACATTTCTTAACTGGATTCCTTAAAGGATCACATGACAGACATGCCTGCTGTGGCCAGAGGGGAGGGAGTTTATCTTACACATAATTACATCTTCACTGCTTCCTAAAGCATATACCTACTTTTGAAATAAGATTTATGTGTCATTACAAGCCTCTCACACAGTCCAGCAACCATTAATGGCAGCAGGTAACAGAAAACACCTTCTGCAAATTCAAATTCAGCTCCAGTTATGTATCCACCGAGCACCTCATTAAGCAGGAGCCTCTGACACTCCAGGACACTGAACTGCAACTTCTGCAATCAGTGACTCCTCTATACATATTTAAATGCAATCAATAGTCCTTATCCAGAAAAGAATAAAAACAGAAACATGGTTTTAGTAAAAATATGGGCTGCGATCATCTACTACAAACAGGAAGCCTCCTAACCACTGAGAAGTTGTTGAAAATTACTCTAATATATGGGCTTCATATGAGCAACAATGTCAGTACCACAGTGGGGTAGGTGCAGGAAGAGGGGCTAGTTACCTAGGAGCTCAGCATGTGCTATACTCCCTTCTCACACATTACAAAGCCCTTTTAAACTCAGGGTCAAGTTTAAGGAGGTCCTAAGTTCCTTAACTATACATAAATTTTCTTGAATAGCTTTGGCTTTTCTTAACATCAGAGTGACGGCAAGGACTAGACTATACAACTACTTGGAAGGCCAGGGCAGAAGGATCACAAGGTGGAGACAAGCCTGGGCAACTTAGTGAGACCCTGTCTCAAAATCAAAAGTAAAGATCACAGCGTGGTGGTGCATACCTATATGCCTTCCACTTGGGAAGCTGAGGGAGATTAGCAAGAGTCTCTCAAAATCCAAACAAGCTTTTAGCACAGAGGCAGCCAGGAAGGTGTGCCCCGCCAGGAACAGCAGATCTAGTCCTGGTCAGCTCCTCCCTACCCTCAGCTTCTGAATAAAGTGGTTTGCTCCCCCTAAAAACCAAACAAGGGATTAGGGAGCAACCTTACAGAGGTCTCTCCTGACACTTTATCAGCAGTAGGAACCCTTTCCGATGAAGGACTTAGAATACTAAGGAGACCATTCAGCTCTAAGTTGATATCCACAAAAGCTTTGTTCCAATATTTTTTAAATTCTACATGACAATCTGTTTTCCTATATACAAGTCATTTTAATGCTATTATTTTAAATAAAATTCATATTTCGAGCAGACTAAAAGAATTGACTCTATTTTATCCCCAGAGCCACCCCTTAAAGTAGGCAGTCTATATACTCTCACTGTTAAGGCTGAATATTACACTGTGTAAAACTCAACTTAGTATCAATCTGACAGTTAAGAGTCTCAACTAGTGACGTGCACAATACAATCAAATATGACACTCTAGATTCAGAAATGTCTTACAGGAGTAATCATCAAGCCCAAAAGACCAGTCTAAGAGTAACTGAAGCCCATTCCAGGAAATAGAGGAAATAAAGGGATGCAGTCAGAGTATGGACAGCTGGAATGGTAAAAGCAGTAAATATTCAGAAGACACTAGCCTGGTGCGGCACAGGACTGTCCTCCAAGTGAGACTGTGGAAAGATGCCTTCTTCCCAAGCTTGGCTGAACCAATGGCCTAGGATCATCACAGCCAAACTGCTGACAGTACAAGGAAGGAGGGGCAGGGAGTCAGCCATACCTCCCTACCAACCAACCAACCAGGCAGGAGGGGCTAAGGATATATTAAGTTGAGGCCGTAGGGAGGGTCTCTTACCATTTAGGACCATGTGGGAAGTCATAGTCCATGCCAGGATGGAGACTTTCCAGTGTGGCTTTAGGAGGGAGCGCTCACACTCCTTTAAGTAAACGCTCACCCACTATAATGCAGTAAGCCCTTTAAACTCACTGGTTTTCAGACTGTAGGTTTGGCAAAATTGTATCTCAGTTTGTGGTAGGGACCAGACAGAGGAGGAGGGCCAGACATCATTCATGCCTCACAGAAGGAATTTTAGTTACAAGTAGTAAAGGCATCAGGGTTCATCATATGCATCTCAGCCTATCTACAGCTTTGACCAGGAACTTGATACTAACAAAAGAAAATTCTATGTAGACGGTATTGCCTAGATTTAAAATTATTTCACACAGTTAATTTTTCAAGAACAATATACACCACACAATCCAAAACAGGCAGACACTGTTAAGAGACAAGCCTATAAGCCAAGAGAACAAGAGTTCAGGAACTCAGAACAATGCAGGCATAAATCTTTGAGCACCTCCTATGAACTGGACATGGACAGTGGGCAAATCACTGTGAACAAGACGAAAACTCTTCAGCTCTCCTGGAGCTCATTCTTATAGCAGTTAGGGACACTGAGCAGGCTGGAGGGACAGCACAACCAGTAAAAACACTGGCTGCTCTGGCACAGAACCTGGGTTCAGTCCCCAGTATCCACATGGTGTTGCCAGTTTCAGAGGATCTGACGCCTTCTTTTGACCTCTATGGGCACTGCAGGACACAGGTGTACTTACACACATGCAAGCAATATACTCATACACATAAAATCAGAATAATACAATATTTTTAAATTTTTATATTAATAAAATTAATTGTGCAATTAGTATAATTCTCCTTCCCTGATAACCTCCATCCCAACACATAGACAAGTTATGAGTAGTGTTTTCAAAACACAAGCATTTGAGGGGTTGGGTATCAGATATATGTAATAGTCTGGGGGCAGAGTATGAGGTCAGAGTTTCACCTCAAAACCACATACATGCAAAACTGAGATTATATGGAGAAGGTCACCAAGAATTAGAATAGTTCAAAACCTCTTGAAAGGGAAGCTTTGGATTAAGTTGTCACACAATAAACATGCCTTAGGTTCTTTTCCTGCTGCCATGATCAAACACCCTGGCCAAAGCAACTGAGGTTTGCTCTGCCTCAGATCCAGGCTGCGGTCCAGCCCAAGCAGGCACTGGCAGGCAGCTGGCCACACAGCATCCAGCCAAGGAGCAAAGGAGCCTGACTGCTGCTTAGCCAGTTTTCTGCACACCCAGTCTAGGATCCCAGACAACGGATGGTGCCACCCACAGTGGGCAGCCTTCCCACCCCAGTTAACAAACCAATCAAGACTGCGCCCTACAGGCAAGTCCAGGGGCCCATCGCCCAGGTAATTTAGACTGCCAGGCTGACACTGTACACTAACCATCATAGCATGTGAACACTAGAGACACCTCACCAATGGTTGCACTGTAATGTTTCCAGGTTACACACTTAGCACTCTTGAAACACTTGTAAAAACTTTATACTAAAACCACTCACCTTCTCCAATTTTCTCTATTTTGATGTAGTCCTCCATAGTCACTTAACGGGTTATAACAGACCCTAAAATGAGGGAAACACTGATTTAATCACATGCTACCAACTCAAAGCAGTTTCAATTAACCAGTGCAGTGCTTTATGCAAAGCATTTTCCACAGTGCCTTCTGTAGTATAATTACATATCCCACAGATGTTGTTATATCAAAAGAGTATTTATTTACCAAGGTTTAAGTACTCTTGCAGTAAGACTTTCTGACCCTTCTTTGCTTCTAAGACACTGCATTTGTATGTTCTATGCAGGGTAGTACTTAGCTTCTTCACATTGAATTAACCCTCCAATTCACAAATCACCAGGCCTGCAGTTCCAGCTACTTAGGAGGATGGCACAGGAGGACCAAAAGTTCAGGCCTGCCTGGGCTACAGGGTTAAGTTCAAAGCTAGCCAAAGAACTTAGTGACCCTGTGTCTCACAAATAAAAAAGTAAAAGGCCAGGTTTGATTCTGAGGACTGAAAAGAAAATTTTAAACAAAACCCAGAATTATGAATTTTTTTTACTGTCAGTATGATAGTTATATATAGTTATTTCAATATAGTTATTTTACCAAATTTGTACAGTTTTCTATTTTTACAAAAATAATTCTAAAGATCCTATGAGGAGGAAGCCAGGCATGGTGGGACATTCCTATAATCCTAACACAGGGAAAACTGAGGCAAAACAGCCAAGTTCAAGGCCAACATGAGTTGGTTACTGGGACACTGTCTCAAAAAGAAAAAGGGAGTTGTAGTCAAAAAGCTCACATTACAAATAACACTGTGGGGCTGGAGCGATGGCTCAAAGGTTAGGAACACTGGTTGTTCTTGCAGAAAACCTGGGTTCGAATCCCAGAACCCACATGGCAGCTAACAACTGTCCGTCACTCCAGTTCCAGGGGATCTGACAGCCTCTTCTGTCCTCCACGGGCACAGCACAGCACGGGTGCACTTACCTACATGCAGGCAATACATACACACACATAAAATAAAAATAATAAACAAAATATTTAAAAAACAAAATATATATTTTTAAAAAACCAAATACTTTGTTTACAACAGCAGACACAAACTCACTCTAAACATTCAATAGGAAGTATCAATAAGCACCCTACAAGAATAAAAAGTACAATTCTACAAAATTTGATCACACCCTACAAAGACTTAAGGAAACAACAGTAAATAGCTAGGCACCTTGCTTCGAAGGTTGCTCAGCCCTGACAAAGTGCTTAGGAGCATCAAAGAGTAGCTGACCTTGAAGTTCTATTCCCCACAGATCCATTCCCCAAGTAACACCAACCAGCAGGCTGTGGCAGCACAAGCCTGTAATCCCAGCACTCAGGAGGCTGAGGCAGGCACATGGCCAGGAATTAGAGGGGCAGTCAAGGCTACACAGGGCCACCCTCAAAAACACCAAAACTTAACCTACAAAGTAGGGATAAATCTTTTCAAGTGAGCCCCGTTGGCAACTTTAGAGTAGGCCCTGGGGACTGGGCCCCAGGGCCTGGCCAGGTGCATGAAACCCAATTACTTGTAATTTTAGGGAACTGCAGTGGGTACCAAAACAATTTTCTGCGCTCTCAATAAAGAGATATAATAACTAGAGTGCAATAAAACAGGTGGACTCCCTTTAAACACAGCTAAAGTTAACTCATTTTCAAAGCTGGGCTCATTTTCCTACCCCATTTTCTAGTTGCCACAATTCTAAATAAATGGTACTACTTTGGAATTTTAGGGTGCTTTGTGAACACCCCCTGTTGCTCGGCGGTGTCAGCTGCCAGGTCTGAAAAAGCAGCGCTTGCAGCACTCCACCCAGATCTCCAAGTCTCTGGGGACGTGTCACAAGCATCTTAAAAAACGACTCAAAGATATTAAAGCATCAGTGCTTCCACGTCTCGGCATTTCTTCCCCTGGCTACTGTCTGGGGTTGTTTGTAACCACAACTTTTATAACATCAAGGACAACCGTACGTCTCCTTGGCGCTGAGCTTTGATGATGGTTCTCCCGGAGTGTCAATGGCCTCGCGAGAACGGCTGGCCCGGGTACTGCCCGCGAAACAGGGCCTCGTCAGGACCTCGGGCTCAGCTGGCTCCCGGCCCAGGCCCGGGGCTGGGCTCCGGGACTTAGGTGAGGCCCTGCCCGCCGTCCATAGCGGGACCCCGGGCTCACGTAAAGGCCCTGCCCGCCATCCATAGCCAGACCCTGGGCTCAGGTGAGGCCCTGCCCGCCGTCCATAGCGGGACCCCGGGCTCAGGTGAGGCCCCGCCCGCCGTCCATAGCAGGACCCCGGGCTCACGTAAAGGCCCTGCCCGCCGTCCATAGCCAGACCCTGGGCTCAGGTGAGGCCCTGCCCGCCGTCCAAAGCGGGACCCCGGGCTCAGGTAAGGCCCCGCCCGCCGTCCATAGCAGGACCCCGGGCTCAGGTGAGGCCCTGCCCGCCGTCCATAGAGGGACCCCGGGCTCACATAGAGGCCCTGCCCGCCGTCCATAGCGGGACCCCGGGCTCACGTAAAGGCCCTGTCCGCCGTCCATAGCGGGACCCCGGGCTCACGTAAAGGCCCTGCCCGCCGTCCATAGCCAGACCCCGGGCTCAGGTGAGGCCCTGCCCGCCGTCCATAGCGGGACCCCGGGCTCACGTTGAGGCCCTGCCCGCCGTCCATAGCGGGACCCCGGGCTCACGTAAAGGCCCTGCCCGCCATCCATAGCCAGACCCTGGGCTCAGGTGAGGCCCTGCCCGCCGTCCATAGCGGGACCCCGGGCTCACGTGAAGGCCCCGCCCGGCCGTAGCCCGGCCAGCCCCGCAGCCCCGCTCGCCCGCGGCCCTCCGAGCGCACCTGCACCCCGCCCCCGGCGCCGGCCGCGTACCCGGCTCTTGTCCCGCAGCGGCCACGGCTGCACTCCGGGTCTACGTAGCAACTCTGGGCGTGCAGAGCCGCCCCGGGTCAGGACCCAGCAGTTTCAAACTCACCGCGCAAAAGCGCCGGGCATCCACCAATCAGGTCGCGCGTAGACGTTCAAAGGAGCCAATCAGAACCGAGCCACGCTGGGAGGGCCGCCCCGGAGGCCAGAGCGCGAAAGAGAGCGGAAACGGCGGCTGGAGGAAAAGCAGGCGGGCGGGCGCCAACTGAGTCTGCGTGTTGCTGTCCTTCCAGCGTCGTCCTACTGTTTCTAGTCATCAGGAGCCTACGATTCTCTGCCGTTTTCTTTTCTCTCTTAAAATTTCACCTCCCAGGATTAATACAGTTCAAATGTATTGTATTTAAATAGCTTGCACAAAAGTAGTTACTGTTGCATAGAGATTCTGTTACTTTTACT